GGTAGCTTACACTTGAATGGGTCTCGTCAAATTGATGAACTTTTAGTTTTGTTTCATGGACAACGGATGTTGGTTGTGTCAAGAAGGAGTGGTGAGCACAGATACGGAAGAGTTGAGGATTGGAATGAAGGTTTTCAGAAGCATAGGTATTCTGGAATTAAAAAATGAAGATTTTCAGAATGTGATTAAATCAAACTCTAGATCCTGTCCATCAGGCTCATGGCACTTCAATTCTAACAACAACTCGTTGGGTAGTCAGACTAGTCCAGTGTCCAGTGATGACACAACCACAACCAAAACGGTAACACAAACTGTATTGGACCTAGCCATGCATGTTTTTAGGTACCAACAACCACAACAACCCCAAAAAAATACTGCCCGAACCAGTCGTCATGGACAATGTTCAGAAATAAATGGTGCATTGTGGTAAGTGGAACGGAAACCCAGTGAAAGTCTAGCAAATAAGACGACAAACTTCGAGTTTTCACCTCTGTATTCTTGCTCAACATGGATAACTTCTAGACGCCCTTCTACAATGATTCTGGATTCACCCATAGCGTAGGTTTGAGGGAATGTCTAAGACAGCCAAGCAGCCAGAGGATGTACATGAGCGGGTTGGAGTATAGGGAGATGCTCATTCATCTGAGAGGTGAGTACTGCTTAACTGATGGTGCGTTGAATCAGAACCGTCCTTTTTGCAAAAATTCACGTGAACAGTGATTTACTTATTAAAGGTGGTGGAACATGAAAGTCCACGGGGACTTCTCGGGGACTTTTTCTCTCCCCTGGCACTTATAGGCAAGCCTGGTCGTCGCGCCTTTCTGGCCGCGTAGCGCAGCCGGTAACGCGTTTGGTGGTGCGCCAGTCAAGCCCTGAGTTCGAACCCACCAGAGGTATTTACTTTTGTAATTTCAGAAAAATAATTTTTTTCATGTTCCCCCACCTTTAAAATAGTTCTGATTCAGAACTAACTTTCTCTCTCTCTCTCTCACTCACTCCTCCCACAATTTTTATTCCAGTTTTTGCTAGACGCCAGTTCAAAACCTTCCACAACGTTAGCTTCGCAATGTGGATCGATGGGTACCAAAGCAAGCCTTGCACTGTAAACTGCTTTCCTGGAAGCTTCACCTTCACGGATCCTCACCTCCAAAACTACACTTCCTATGAGTGGTACTCAAAGGGGAATAAAGTGGAATTCGGTGGAGTTGGTACTTGCCTTCAACTAATGTTCCCTAGTAACACATCGGATGCAAGGTTTGGGAAGGTTTCATACGCGGAGTAAGCTTCAGGGGAAGGGACTAGGAGAAAATTTGTGGTTTCAGGTGCAATGTGCCGCAGGACAAAGAGTTCATGAGACGAGCAGTGGTGTGTGGGACACTGGCAGTTTGATTTTTGTGTTCCCTTGACTAACCTAATAAATTTCGTTCTTACAAATATAGATTGGGTCGTAAGGTACAACAAAACTCGGCTATCTTTATAGTTTGAAGCGCGCCAGTTTGAACCAGCGATCCGGCGCCAGTTACCGAAATTTATGTTGATCATCCTGCCCAATTCAGTTGCCTAATTCTAGGCTCCTCATCCATTTTCCAAAGTTTTCATTGGTCTTGTGACGTATTAGAGTCATTAGCAACAAACTTCACGACCAACTGATAACTCAAGTGGAACAAGCACCTGATTCAGTTCGCATGGATACACATGTGAAGGTTTCTGTGGCAAATAGCACTTCTTTTTTCTTATTTTTAGAAAAACCGAGTTAGTTCTCGTTTTTAGAATTTTCAGCTTCAATATTCAGGAAAATTCAAGTTGTCAGCTTCATATCTCGGATACTAGAGGAGATCCAACAATTTTGTCAACAGATAAAATGCTCGAAATTTTATTCTGAGCATCTATATCATTTTTTTTCCGTATCTCTTGTGGTGATCCTGATATGTACTCAATTTCTAACATTTTCAGAGGTAACAATGTCTCTCGCTTCCCCATCTCCTCCTCCACCAGATCCTCCACCAGATCCTCCACCACCTACACCCACAGAAATGCCCTATGCCATCGACCCACTGATCCCCATCACCTATTATCTCCAATTTATCAACTCATATTTATACATCGCACTGATCATTGGAGCTCTGTACTTCTTCGATCCCAGTTCCGTGTCACACTGGATCACCGCCGGGCTTACATTAATCCTAATGATCCTGATAGCTTGTGGTTCTTCTTACTTGGTGTCCTGGGAGAAAAGACGGAATCGGGATATAGATGAGCTGATGATTTGTGAAAAGCTCATGAAATACTCACTTTGGATGATAATGATGTGTGGTCATATACCGGCGGTACTGAGCTTTGCAATTGGATGGTGTCCAAATGTAAGTCTTCCAGGATTGTCGGGCTCACCGAGCCGGCCCGGGATTCGAAAAATCTGAAGAAAGCCCGGCCCTTCACAACTATGGGAAATAGTGGGGAAATAGTGGGGAATAGTAAGCAAAAAAGATACCAACTACACAAAAACGTTTCAGTTCACCCCATCATCCACCATTGTTTTCTCATTCATTGCGTCCCAAACCTTCTCCTGTTTCTACCAACAAACCGTTAACAAAACCACTGTCGACTACCAAAACTGTCAAGGGCGTACCTTCTGTTGTCTGGTGATTCTATTGCTCTATCCAATTCTCTTCGCGTGCATTTCTTACCAAAACAAGGGTTTGGAAAGCTACGCTTCTTACATTTTCAATCAATTGATTTGCACTATTTTTTATACAACAAGTGCTCTAGACTACGGTATTTTGATGGGCAGTGGTGCACGGAGAGCACCACCAAAGAATAATCAGATCGGAGTGAGCTATCTGGATGTTATCTCGAAGCTGCCAGTGGATCAGGAACGACGTGAGAAGATTTTTAGGTAAGATACCGTAGAACTAAGGCCCCTATGATTTTTTTCCAGAGCATTCCGCCTTCTATCCTGCCCCATCTGTTACATTGAATACAGTGAAATCCAAGCCTCACAAACCCCCCGAAACCTTGCATGTGGTCATACCCTCTGTGAGGGGTGTCTGCCCAAACTGATTGAGAAAACCAAAATGGATATGTGTTGCTTTCGATGCCCAGTGTGCGGGATGCAAGTTCAGATGATGAGACCTGGTGAGAAAAAAATAGGATAGAACCATTTTATTGTACAGTTTCAGATCATCCTCTTGCTGGTGTTCCAAAGAACCATGCTTTGATTGATATTCTTCGAGAGATTGAGGGTGAACGGGAGAACGAGAGATTCCAGGGAGTGGTCTCTCAAGATTTTGGTGGAGGAGGGCCAAGCAATGGGGTTAGACCGGTTTGAAGGTAAATGTGCAATTGCGTAGTTTTGTAGTTTGTAGTTTGCACTGCTTTAGGGGAGCTCAACCCTCATTTTGTTCATTTCTGCGCTCATTTCTGCGCTCATTTCGGTACTACGAGGTGGTGCACAAAACATGATACTCAATTTCGAAATGATGCCAAAAACACTTAATTTTCGAATTCCCGCCAAAATTTTTGATCTCTGAATTCCCACCAAAAATTTGGAAATTTCGAATTCCCACCAAAACTTTTAAAGTTTTGAATTCCCACAAAAATTCTTGAAATTTCGAATTCCCACCAAAACTTTGAAATTTTGAATTCCCACCAAAATTTTGGAAATTTTGAATTCCCACCAAAACTTTGGAAATTTCGAATTCCCACCAAAACTTTGGAAATTTTGAATTCCCACCAAAACTTTTGAAATTTTGAATTCCCACCAAAACTTTGGAAATTTTGAATTCCCACCAAACCTTTTGAAATTTTGAATTCCCACCAAAACTTTTGAAATTTTGAATTCCCACCAAAACTTTGGAAATTTTGAATTCCCACCAAACCTTTTGAAATTTTGAATTCCCACCAAAACTTTGGAAACTTTGAATTCCCACCAAAAAACATGGAAAATTTTGGTTTTTCGCCAAATTTTTGAAATTTTGAACTCCCACCAAAAATTTTGAAGTTTTGAATTCCCACCAAATTTAGTGGTTTTTCTAGTTTTTTTCAGATCTTCTCAACTCTCAGCCTCCTAGACGACGAAATTCCTCCGCTTCTACCGTACCTCCCCGCCAAATTCCTCTGTTTTCCGTCTCTTCGTCTTCTTCAAACCCATAAATTATTGTTTTAATAAATCATAACAAGTCTCGTTATACTACTATACATATGAGAAGAGAAAATAGCCGCAGACGCAAAATAGTATAAGAAAACTGGAGATGCAGACATTCCTAAGCAAGAATAACAATTATCACAAGATATGGGGTCTCAAAAGGGGAGGAGAAAGACTCGGCTCATTGTGATAAACAAGTTTTATTATTCTTCATAATAATTCTTACTTTTTTTGGGTTTTTTGGTGGTCTAGCCGGCTTTTGGCAGGTAAAAAACGATGATTTACCACTCGTTTTCAGTAGTCTAGCCGGTTTTCTAGGGTCTAGGCAACCCTCAATCCCAGACAAACTCATTCCGAATGAATTCTCAGGTGATCATGCCGGTCTCCGACCCAGGGGACCCTTCGGAGCACACCGTCCCACCGTACCATCCCATTCCCCATTACCTTCAAAGAGCCGGTGCCGTCCTGGTCATTGTCTACATCGTCGCGGCTCTCTACTTCTTCGATGGCTCCAGTCTCCAACATTGGTTCACCTTGGGCACCACTTTCCTGACCATGGCCATCATTGTGTGTGGTACTCAATGCACCAAGTTTGCTCTGGATGAGTGTTGTCAGAAGTTTGAGCAGAGGGACATGAAGACTAATACGGCTGTGATGAGACATACCCTGGCATGGATTACTTATAGTCAGGCAATGTTGCTGGTGGCTGTGTACACTTTTGGGTGGAGTCCGTGTGTAAGTTGTTAGGTGGGACATCCGGACAGATTTCCGGACAGACAGACAGAATTGTGAGGTCCGCTAGAGAAAAGGCGAAAGGCGGCAGGAGTCTCTACGCCCTCTCCTTGTATTTCGGTTGTTGACCCCGCGGCCTAGTGGTTAGCGCTGCAGTTTTGGAATCTGAGGACGCGGGTTCGAACCCCATTGGGGTAATTTTTTTTTGTTTTTTCTTAATATTGTTCAGACTAGTTTATGGCTATTTTGGGTTGAATTTGGAGCGTTTTGAGGCAATTTCTAGGCCTTCTAAGAGGTGTTTTTTTTTACTTCGGCTGAAATTGGCGCTTCTCTGCGGTGAAGCCGACGCTGCGCCTTTAAGCTCAGCGCCCCTCTCCTTCCAAGTACCATATCTCACTTTGCAAAAGAGCTGGAAAAAAGTTGTCAACTAACAATTTGTGTGAAATTTTGTGATAAATATTTCTTCAGTTGACAACTTTATTCTATCTTTTTTCCTGACCGAGATATAAATTAATTTCTAGATGCTTACCATCTCCTGGTATTTCTAAGGCAGTTTTAGTCATTTTCTCGGATTAATCTCAGTGTTTTTAGAGCGATTTTCAGCATTTTTAGAGTAGACTGTTCAGGCACTTTTTATGCTGTTTCAGACAAAATTTCAGGCTTTTAGGTCATTTTTTAGCCCGATTTTCAGCTTTTTTGCAATCCGCGACCCTTAGTTTCATGCTTCATATCTTGCTCAGAAAAACATCTAGAAACAAATTCTGAATTAACGAAATCCGCCTAATTTTATTCTGAGCATTTTTTCCAGCTTTCTATTTTCTACCCTAGCCTAGATAACTTCAGATCCTCACCTACCTCATCATCATCCTAAACTTCCTTCCCGGTCAACTCGCCTGCAAGGCCTATAGCCGATTCTCTCGTAAAATCTCCGTTGACTACCGTCGTAACTACAAGATTGTCATCTTTGGAATCCTCTTCCACATCGCTATTCTGACCATTGGGATACTGTACTCACTGCGCTTCAAATCGCTAGAGGACCAAATCGCTGTTTACGTCTGCCATGGAGTGTATGCGGTTTTCTATTCTGCTACGACCATTGATTACGTGATCATGAAAGTGGATGGGGCCTACTTGTGCTATGAGTCATTGAGAGTGCAGCAGCAGAAGGTGTTGAGCATCTGCGAGAAATTGGCAAAGGAGGATCCAGAAAGGCTTGGACATCAGTTGAGGTAGATCAGTTTTTTGAAGGGTACTGTACCCAGCTACCTAATTTTCTTCAGAAACTGCAACTTGGCCTGCGAAGTGTGCTTCATGGAGTTCAACGAAATCATCACTGCCCAAATCCCCAGAATGCTTCCAAAGTGCGGTCACACTTTCTGTCATCAGTGCTCCGAGAAACTCGCCAAGGACAACTGCAATCAGCACATTTATTGTCCGACATGCCGATTGAGTTCGGAGGTTCCAGGTGGGTTTGTAGTTTGTAGTTTGTAGTATGTAGTAAGTATCAGAGCTGTGCGGAAAAAATTTCAAAATCGGAAATCTGAAGTAAAATTCCTAAAACGGAAGTCGGAAGTCGGAATTCCGCACAGCTTTGGAATGTACTTTGTAGTTTGTAACAAGACTACCAGATGCGCTAGGCTCAGCTGTAGCTTTCCTGAACTGCGCTTCCGAACCGCATCATGCCCTCTAAGCCAAAAATTCCAGATAAACTCGTCTCTTGCCTCCCCAAAAACTACGCGATCATCAGCATCCTCCGTGAGATCAACGCTCAGTTGGAGAGCAAGCATCTTGTGGATGAGATGTCTGAATCAGGAGGATCCAAGGAAAATGACAAGAAAGAAATGAAGAAGTGCAACCAGGTCACACCGATCGTCACCGTTTGAATCCACATGGCTATGCAATTGTGCTTCATTGACAAACATTTTAATCTCGCCTAACGTGCTCTATTGATGACGTCGTCCGCCACCTTGGATAAAGCTAGGCCAAGCGCTTGCTGGCCGAGTTTTTTCCACGTGGCGGACGGCGTCATCAATGGGGCGCGTAGTCATCCGCTATATTTTTCCCATATCTTATTTGTGACACATATAAATTTCGTTATTTTTTTATCTTGTTTCTTCTTCTACACATGGGAATTTGGTGACGAGGCTATGAGACTTTGAGAGAAATGAGACGACAAAAAAAAAGAAAATCCGTTTGCTCTCCCTTCTGATCACAAGACTTATTATTTACACTCTAATTCCTTCTTCGTTTCGTGTTTTTTGCTCTTTTTTATCCCTCCGGCTTCCAACAAAACGAATTTCAGCCAAACGATGCCCAAGGACAACTGTTCCCCGGTGATCTCCCCGACACGTTTCCATCGTTGGGGCACCCTCACAAACTACCTGTTCATTTTTGCCGCATTGAAATTCTTTGATAATGAGAATTATCATCATTGGTGGACCCTTTTCGCCACCATCTTCTCCATAATTCTGATTTTCATTGGAGTATTTTGGTTGAAGCTTTACGTCCAACGGAACTATCAAATGGATAACATGAAGGAGTTGGAGTTGTTGGAAGAGAATGGTGACGAGAAAATCAAGGAAATGAAATTGATCATGAAATGTTCCCTGGGTTGTATTGTCTACAGTAATGCGGCTCCATTGGTGGCAGCCTTGACAATTGGTTGGAGTCCGTGTGTGAGTTGCTGGGTGGGACATCCGGACGTGTTTCCGGACAGACAGACAGATTTGGGAGGTTCGCTAAACAAAAGGGAAAGAGGCCGTCGTCTTGTGTACCCCCTCGCCTTGCATTAGGGCTGTTGACCCCGCGGCCTAGTTTCTAGCGCAGTAGTTTTGGAATCTGAGGACCCGGGTTCGAACCCCACTGGGGCAAAAATTTTTTTTTTTTCTTTATATTGTTCAGGGTAGTTTAAGGATGTTCTGGGTTGAATTTGGAGGGTTTTGGAGCAGTTTTAGGCACTGTAGAGCGGTTTTTAGGCTTATCTCAAGTGAATTTTCGAACAGCAGTTTCAAATCTTTCTAGTGTATTTTCCAGCCAAATTTTAGGCGTTTTCCAGCCAATTTAACGCGATTTTTTCTAGATCCTTACCTACCTCACCATCACCTGTGGCATCCTATCCCAACGCCTTGAAACCCAAATCTATCAACGCTTCATCGGAATCTTCTCCGCCAACTACTCCCAACACGGCGACAACGCTTTCTGGACAGTCCTCTTCCAATTCTTTCTCCCTATGATGGATCTCCCGTACTCTTTATGCGTCAAACCCCGTGACGATTTCATCGCAGTGTTCATCCTTCAGTTGATCTACACCGTGTTCTATGCTCCGTTATCCGTTGAGTACGCCGTTCTCCGAGAAGATGAAGGAGCAAAACTTTGCTCCAAGGAGGAAGAAGAACCACCGGCAGATTATGATATGGATATCCTTGGCGATCTTTCCTGTGAAGTCTGTCATCTGGAGTACCACGAATTCATGGATGCACATGCTCCAAGGATGCTCCACAAGTGTGGCCACACGTTTTGTGAGCAGTGTTTGGTGGAGCTGGCTAAGCTGAACAAGAATGAATTCATCATTTGTCCAACTTGCAGTGTTAAGACACCAGTTAGAAGTGAGTTTCTTTGTGTTTCCAAGCCGATTCTCCACGAGGAGTCCAATTTTTCAGAAGGAACTATCGAACAATTCCCCAAGAACTACCCACTTCTCTACATCATCCGAAAGGTCAACCGGGACAAAGAGCTGCATCTGTGGATGGACACGATTTCTGGAAGATCGATTGACAAGGAGAAAATGTTGGGCAGTCAGAAACTTGTTAAAATTGTCTAAATTTCATCATTTTGTTTATCATAATCCTCTTATTCTCTAAAAATGAATCTCCTAGTACTCTTCCCCTGTTGCTTACTTCCAATTTCCATGGTAACCGAGGCGAGGGAAGAAAAGACGAGTGAGAGAGAATAGGAGCAGTGAGAGACGAAGAGGTGAAAACTTTTTGTCCGTGCTGGGCGCTCATGAGCTCATGAGCATGAGAAGCCGCAAACAAATACGTGTTGATAACCAAGAAAGGAGGAAACAAGGCAGAAAGGGATTTATGTTCTGAGCAAGAGGAGTTTTGAGAGTGGAAGGGAGCAGAAAGGGGTGTTCCAAGGGTAACAGGTGTAGAAATGTGAAATTTAGGCAAAATAGTAAAAAAAAAGTTAGAATAGGTAAGAAGGCAGTAGAACTTGACAGGGATGAGAACCAGTGAAAAAGAGTTCTTTTTTTTTAGGCAGGTGCTTTTTGTACCTGAAAGGCGCGCGTAGTTTTTTTTTGGGAGGGTCCCGCCACGATAGATAATATTACGGTATTTCAAAGTTTTCTGGCGACACTGAAGGGTTTTTTTTAAAGTAGATAAAATTTACAGAAATGTTTTTCCGTGGCGAGACATACTCTATGCGGAAAAATACTGATTTTACCGAAAAAATACTGATTTCGCTGGAAAAACTTTTTTTTTCATGAAAACTTCCTGATCTTGGAAAGAACGCTGATTTGAAGGAAAAATCAACTGAATCTGCCAGAAAACCCTTTATTTAGCGGTGAAATCGCTCATTTTGGTGGAAAAGGCTTCGTTTTTGCTGAGAAAATCCCAGTTTTGGTGGGAAAAACCCCTGTTTTTGCTGGAAAAACTCCTAACGCTAGAGAAAAAAAACCTTGAACTGGCTTTGAAATCCAGCTAAGCCCTTAGGAAAAAACCTGATTTTGTTGAAAAAAAACAGCTGCTTCTGTAGGAAAAATCCTGATTTTGTAGCGAAAACCCTCTAATTTTGGTGAGAAAAACCCTGTTTTTGCTGAGGAAACCCCGATTTTGAAGGAAAAAACCCTGTTTTTCCTGGAAAACCCCCGATTTTGTCGGGGAAACCCCGATTTTGCGGGAAAAAACTCGTTTTTGCTGGAAGAACCCCGTTTTGGCGGGAAAAAACGCCCGATTTTGTGGGGAAAGCCATTGTTTTTGCTGGGAACTCCCCGATTTTGCGAAGATAACCCCCATTTTTGCCGGAGAAAAACCGATTTTGCGAGAAAAAAACCCTGTTTTTGCTGAGAAAATCCCGATTTTCTGGGAAAAACCCCTAACTCTAGAGAAAAATCCTTTAACTGGCTGTGGAAAACAGCGGAACCCATAAGAAAAAAACCTAATTTTGTTGGAAAAAAAACCTAATTTTGTTGGAA